TGATGCTAAGTCCTCTACAGACCTGGACCAATTCTGTATGATCACACAGACTCGAGCTCCAGACTCAGTTACCTCCCAGATTAGGAAGAGACCTGCATTGGTGGACTCACAGAGAGCATGTGATGAGCGGCATCCCCCTGCCTTATCCAACGTCGAACACCATCTATTCACAGACGCGTCAGACTTGGGATGGGGAGCCCATATGGACTACCACAGGGATCATGAAATACCTGAGAGCAGAACCTTCATATCAACTGCAGGGAAATGAAGGCCATCTATTATGCCATCCTGGAACGGAAGATACATCTCTACGAATCGTCCGTCCTCATAGCCACGGACAACACCACAGTAGTGGCCTACATTTAGAAACAGGAAGGAAACAGATCCAACAGCCTTTCTCGCCGGGGGATATTAGTAGCAACAGAATGGACACTACATCCCCAGATCTTCGCTTGGATAACCACCCTATGGGACAGACTACACCTGGATCTATTTGCCACCTGCCAGAACAACCAACTTCCAGTTTATGTCAGTCCAGTTCCCGATCCAAGATCTCACCAGATCGATGCACTATCGATTGGTTGGACTGATCTAGTTCCTTTAGCATTCCCCACATGGTCTCTCCTAGACAAAGTCATCCACAAGGTGGAGGTGGATTGCATATTAATACAGATAGCTTCAATATGGCCCAGCAGGGCGTGGTTCCCCAGGCTACTAAGACAACTAATGGAGGAATCTATCCAGTTACCTCTTCGTCGAGATCTGCTACAACAACACAAGTCCAGCATTTACCATGACAATCTGTCCAGCCTACATCTAACCGCCTGGAAGTTATCACGCAGAAGATGCAGACTTCTGGATACTCTGAAATTGCCTCAGAAGCTGTGGCAAGATCATGGAGACCTTCATCCTCCCTTACTTATGACAACAGATGGGACAAGGAATTATAACTAATGCTATATCCATCCCTATGGTTTTTCTACTACATCTACATCAAGACAAGCAAAGTCCTACATGGGACGAAAGAAGGTTATAGATCAGCTCTTCATTCGGTACTTCAACATGACAGATTATCAATCGAAAACCATCTCATTCTAAACAGTCTAATGAGATCCTTTCTACTAGAAGATGTTCGAACACCTGTTAATGGAACCTTATGAGCCCATGGCTAAAGCTACCTTACTCCCAAAACCCAGGAAGGCTTCCTTCCTTCTAGCCATGGCAACAGCAGCAAGAGTTTCAGAATTACATGCCTTCGACTATTCTAGTCTCACCCATGACCAACATTGGACCTTAATAACTTTAAGATCGCTTCCAGACTTCGTAGCCAAGAATCAGTCTACCACAATGGAACCCTTGAGACATAGACACCATACAATTCCTGCATTAGGAAATTATCTCAAGTTAGGATTAAGATCAGTAAATAATGGTTCGCAGAATAGGATTGCTGTCAATTACACAGGGAGTTAGTAGAGCCAGGTCCCACTGGGTCTCTCTGGTATATTCTGGCAGAGATGTAATAGAGGAAGAAGTTTAATAAGAATTATCGAACAATAGTTATCATTGTTAATAATTCTAAGAATACTACCTCTATTACATTCGAGGTACTCCCTCCCACCTCCCCAATTCATCTACCTCTTGTTAGATGGGGGAAAAAAGTTTGTTGCCGCCATTATAATGTCATAGCTTGGGTAGTTACGAGATTACTTGGCGATAACTAGTTGACAATGGAGAGGACGTCTGTTGAAAATCTGAAAATTTTAGTTAGTGTTACTGAAGCCAAAATACAGTATTTATGACAACGATGTAATAGAGGTAGTATTCTTAGCATTATTAACAATGATAACTTCTGTTACATCAAACCTATAAATTCTGTATTTTGGTTATTATCACATTAAGAAATCTTCAGATTTTCAACAGAACTCCTCTTCACTCTTCATAACCAGGTTGTGCAAGTAATAGTATCTTGCCACCCATACCTTATGGGCATACATAAGGCAGCAAAACTTCCCTTCTTAATAGAGATTATGTTTAATGTAATACCACCATCAACAAATTGATGTAGCTATCATTGAGGTGTACATTGACATTACTGTGGCTTTGCACACAATGAAATTGCACAACATGCATGTACAACATGTGATGGTTGTGCAACACAGATGGCAGAAAACGTTGTTGGCGACGTAGCAGTGAGTGATATGTCAGTACAACAATTCTTGATCATGATCGGTATGGTCGCATGGCATGGCATGGCATCTCTTATGAGAAGGCATACAGACATTGGACCAGCCCACTAAGTCCTCTAACATGTCCCCAACAGAGCATCTGTTGGATGTTCTCGGGCAGAGAGTTTATGCCAGAGACGCAGCATCTGCCAATGTGGCCCAGCTTGAGGAAGCTCTTCACGCGGAACGGTGGTCTATACCGAGACAACCAGAAGCAAGTTAATCAACAGTATGCCTTCAAGTCGTCAAACATGTATCGGCCAACATGGTGGACAACCAGATATTGATCTACACGCCCAAAATAAATTTTGTAGATATCATTACACCTTCACTATCGTTTCATCAGGTCACCTTGATAAATAATTTTTGTCAGTAGTATGTAATTATCCTGATATCCATCTGAAGAAAAAATTGTGTGTGAGTGTACCTTAGTTTCTTATTGTTTAGGCCTCTTTTTTATTTGCTGGTTTACAAATTTTGGAAAAGAAGGCACTTTCAAATTTGTTTATGTCTTTTTTGTAAACATGTTCAGTAGGTATTGTAAAAACTACATTATAATTCAATGTCATTAGGGTCAAGATCCTGAATAATTATTTGAACATGCTGTCGTGGTGAGTTTAATACCTTGTGCAGGTACATGCATGGAACCAATTTGTAATATATACTCTTCAAAAAAAAAGAAACTTGACACCGTCTTTCAAAATTTAAGATAAAAACAATGTTTGAAAATAGGACACAGAAACCATAATTGAAACACGATTTGAGGATCAATGTACACAATGTTCAAAACATTAATCGTGTCGCACAGACAGACACATGTACACAATGGAGTTAATGTCACAGGGGTACAGGAAATGTTGTGACCACCACGTGCATCAATTACCGCTTGACACCGACGACCCATAGATGCAATCAAGTTGTGAATAACACGCTGTGGAATGTGCTGCCATTCATGCTGAAGAAGCGGTAATGTCTGGATGTTGTTGCGCTGTAAAAAGTCCTGACAAACATGTGTAATATACAGTCGAGCATTGTCTTGCTGGAATTTCCCACCGTGAATGTTGAAGTGAGGCAGAATGTAAGGCTGTAGGATCAAGTCTCTGTAACGCACGCCTGTCAATGTACCTGCCACATGCACGAGAGGCGTCCTATCATTGTGATGAATTCCGGCCAATATCATGACACTCCTGCTGCCAAATGGGACAACCTGCTGCACACAGTTGGGGGCATAATGTTCATCCTGACGTCTTTAGACACGTGTGCGCCCATCAGCATGTGTGAGTAGAAAACGGGACTCACCAGTGAACAGCACATTTCTCCACCTTGCACGTGCCTATCTCACCCTCTGTTGCCACCAATGCAGACAGACTGCCAGATGACGTGCGATCAATACATGACGTCGAACAGATTTTCGTGCAAAAAGTCTGGCCTTCCTCAATCTGTTGCGTACTGTTTGATCTGAAATGCTGCATAGCCCAGGGATCTGTGTGTTTGTAGACATTGCTGTGGTAGTGCGTTCCGGATGTATCGATCTTGTGCTTGTGCTGTCACCCTTGGTCTCCCTGACTTTGGTCTGTCGTCAACTATGTTGGTGTTGTTGTACCGTGTCCATAATGCGGAGATTGTCTGTCGGGATACGCCAAGGTGCCTGGCCACATCTTGCTGAGTTGCTCCAGCTTGTAATCTGCCTTGGCGTTGTGACGTTCAGCTGTATTCAGTGTTGGCATTCTGTCACCGCGTCTACTATCGTTACAAGGTCTGTATGAACGCCTGTTGATGTGGTTATTTATACCCCTTTAGCAGGGGTGGATGCATGCATAAATGCAGGATCCTGTGCTGCACGTTATTTACAGACGGTTGTGTTTGGATGAATCTGTAAAATTTATCCCAAAACGCTACGTTTATGTGGTTTGGATGTGTTTCCACAAATTACAGAAACATCATCCTTCTGTTTGACTAATTCTAATCACATTTCATTTAATGATTTGGGATATTTTGAGAAATGTGATTTTACATCTATGTCAAGTTGTTGTTTTTTTAAGAGTATATATTTTTTACTGAATGGGTTTTCACCCTCGCCATTAATATTAAAAAAACTCTCAATAGAGAAAAAAATTCTACTTTCCTGATATAAAGCCTTACATAGCTGCTAAGGTAGGAGATCGACATGACTCTACCAACCCAAATTCCATGGTCTTCCTGCATGAAGTGTGGTCACTTTATGACTGTGGCATATCCACACGAGCTTTGTTGGAAGTGCAGACATGCTACAGGAAATGCCAAATAAACAAAAGAAGAGATGAAGGCAATGTTTATGGTCATCATGGTGGCGTCAAGTAGCTACAGTGCTGTGGCACTATTCATATTTCTACAAAGGCAATATTTCAGAAAGATAAAGTAAAGTTGCTTTAGCCCCAACCCTACTCTTGTTGTATCTTTCTGTTTTACATCTTCATTAAAGGCATGTCAGGCCTTAGTGAGACCAATACCAAGTACAAAGTAAAGGACACTATTGACATTCATTGTAAGATGGAAACAATCAATATTGAAATTCAGTTACATATTTCATATTTTTTTTATTTAGTCAATATATATTCAGAAAATGTTTGAGTATCAGTGCAAACTTATGATAAGTTGCTTTATTTGTTGACATTTTAGACAGTAGACTACATATCAGGTTAGCTACAGTAACATGTATTTAATCGTTGGCCACCTATATAAGGTGACATGGTTTATGAAGTTGACTTAATGGTGTTTGTTGTCTCTCTGCTTCAGCTTACGAATCCTGAATGGAAACTTCCAGACAACTGCAGTGTGTTTGTAAACACAATAAAAGATCAAGGTATAAGAAATATGCTGATCACTCTGAAAGCAGCTGCATGTAAATAAGGATGAGAGAGAGAGTGAATTTATGGATATGAACTTATTTATTATGAGGAACACAACATTGTGGTGTATGTGCTTACTGCTTTTTCAGGTGAATAAATGCTTAGATGCAGAGAGCATAATATGTACATGTAAAAACAACAAAAGTAATAAGAATAACAAAGGTTGAAACATTAACAAGTAAAGCCACTAGTTAATTAGCACTGATTGGTGATTAGCAATGGACAAATGGAAGCATTGGACAATGGTAGCCAGCTGGATTAAATGGCCCTAGGAGGGGGTGGGGGATAATGTGATAGATTGATGGTGGCACAGATTAATTATCAATCAATAAGTCCCATGCACTGGGCAGATATGTTCCCTGGTCAAAGTTCATGGTTGGTAGTTCCTGATGTCAATGGCCTCTTGTAGTTTCCTTTGACACCAGTTGTTGTTGGACAGGACTTTGGTAGCATGCCACATGATGGTATGGCCTTGTTCAGAAGTTGCAGATTTATGGTCTAGGTTGTTGACAGAGATGTGATATTCTTTGAATCTGATGGGTCTAGGGGTTTCTCCAATGTATTGGTGGCCACAGTTGCAGGAGATCTGGTATATATACATCCTCTGGGGTTGGGACTTGCGCTGCTGGTGCCTCTGCCATTGGCTCGTAGATGGTTCTTGATGGTCTTGTTGCTGGAAAAGGTGATATCTGTGCTGGCATGTTCCTGATGAAGTGGGAAATCTGACGACTGGCAAGGTATTGGTAGGGTCTGGTGATTCTGATGGGGCAGGTTTGGGTCTGGGCTCTGAGTTCTTTCGGGCCTTGTTGATGGTTTGGGCGATTAGGTGGTCAGGGAATTGTTGGCCAAAGTGAAGGTTTTCTTGAGATGGTTTACTTTACTGCTGAACAGGGATTGGTATTGGACGTTTAAAGTGCATCCCAATATCTTATGATGCACAAGGCGGTATTGCAATACATATCACGATATATTGTATAATTCTAAATTTTTATTTCAGAAGCAATTTGAAACATCAGTGTATAAATTGAAGTTCATTAATGGAACTGATGTTCTTAGTCCATCTTCTGATGTTTGTAGGGACACATCTAGGAAGCAAATGTGTTGATTATGGGGTCTCCATGATAAACTGGATTCTCTTGTGCGGGGGCGTTCAGATATTTGAGGAACTCTGTGGGGTTGTCCTGGTGGGCGTTGGCGGTTAATTTGTCATCAACATTCCGGTTCCAGCAGAGGGGTTGGAATTGTGCTGTGGAGTGGGTGGGCATAACGACAATTGCTTTACCTTTGTCAGCTTCTGTTATGGTGATGGTGTTATCTTTCTGTCATGGCATGTCTCTCTTGGGTGGAAAGGTTTTGGCATGGTTGGCGGGTGTTCTTGATGGTGTCTATGATCTGAAGGCATTTGGAGCCATTTGGAGCCAGTTGTTGGAGGTCACTCTCTCACTGATGAAGGCATCTGTGTTGATCTTGGTGCTGACTGGGACATACTTCATGCCTTTTTTTGTTGTTTAACACAGCACTCAGGAATATTCCAGCTCTATGAGGGGCGGTCTGTAAATAATCTAGTCTGGACCAGACAGTCCAGTGATTGACATCATGAGCATCGATCCACGCAATTGGGATACGATGACATGCGAGCCTGACCACTGGATCCTTTTAGTTGCCTTACCTTGGAGGGAGGGATTTTTGTCAGATGTGAGGATCTTGCTGCTCAAGTTGACTACTCTCTTATTGGTTGTTCTGGAGATAGCTTCTGGGACATGGTAGTGTAGTGGGCGTTGTATTTGAGTGAGCTTTTTTATGTGAGTGGTCTTGAGTCGGTGACAACTGATCTGGGCTAGGGATTTGGTCTTCTGGTAAAGGTCAGGTTTGAGAGTATCTTCAAGATGTGATCTGATGAAGGAGTAATAGTCCAGACAATCAAAATAGTATCAAACCTCTCAACTAATTGTAACAGAATTTATTTTTCGTGTTTCTTGTATGTGATTATGTAGCACGTAACATATAAACAATCTCTCCATGATAATGATAAATCCATTTAAAACATATTTTATTGGGGATAATTTACTAGTATGTTCAAATGACAAAAATGACACCTCCCACTCAAAAAATTACTTAGAAAACTCAAAATTATTCAAAACTTTTCCCAGTATTGTGAGATTTCTGTATTGAGTACGAAATATTTCTGTAAAATAACAATCAGATAGGTAACAAAAATAATATATCAATGTCAAGGAATATCCTTTAGAAAGTCTTTAATAACCTGTCAACATGCAGATAACAGGTACTGTTTTATCACGCTTGGGAGTTATAGGCTCTTGGCGTGAGGAAACTCTATGGCTAAAATCGCATTGGATAAAGTTTTAAGCCTCCACCACCACCCCCGATATTTTTCAAAGTAACTAAATGTTGATTTGATTATCGGTGGTCAAACAAAACTTAAAAAACAACTCCTTACTGAGGTAAAATGTTTCTAGTTCTTTACACCTTCAAATTTAAGAAATTGCGCAATGAGAAGAGAAATTAAAACCCTTTATAAACATATCATAACACTTGAAATTAACCAATATAGCTATACATCACACACTATCTGTTAAATGAAATTTCATTATTCATGTGTTTGAAATGAAATACTTGCTAGATATAGAAGAGATGAATAAATGGCCTCCAAGGTGCCACAGTCCAAGCGACGGACCAGGAGTTGCTCTCCTGTCCGCTGCTCAAGGCACTACCTTACCCGTGAAGATCCGAGGAAGAATAAGTCTTCAGCAACCAATGTTTGCCATAAAAGGTGACTATGCTTGTCGTAAAAGGCGACTAACGGGATTGGGTGGTCAGGCTCACTGATTTAGTTGATGCTTGTCATCGTATCCCAATTGCGTGGATCAATGCTCATGATGTCAATCACTGGAATGTCTGGTCCAGACTCAATTATTTACAGACCGCCGACATATAGCTGGAATATTGCTGAGTGCGGCTTTATACAATATATAAACAAACAAACAAACAAACAGCACTACCTATGGGACTCCTTGGAGGGGGCGTGAGTTGAGTACCCCTCGGAATGAAATACTCACCTCGTCCTTGTCCAGATGCCAGATTGGATGGCAGACCACATGTCACTGGTAGCGCCCTCGCCTGGCCAAGAGGGACAACATAGGGTCTCAACCTACTTCCATCCCACCTGATCCCATGCTTAAGGACATGGTCGGGGCGCAGGACGAGGACTTCTCTCATTTGACTTTCACTTCAGCGTTCAAGGTGTCCAAAGTTGAGAGGGATGATTCCCCATCCACACCCGGGATGAGGATCTCCTTCATATGACAGGGTTGTCTAAGCCAGCGACTATCCAGGTATTGACACACGATTGGCTTTCATACAACTGAGGTCCAACGTCCCCTCACACCTTGGCTGCACCTGGCCTCATGGTTAGGGCTCTGTGAAATTTTCCACCATTTCTCCGTATGTAATAGGTGAACGTTCAATGTTGGCTGGATGATTTCATGGAGAAAGGCGAGAGTACTCTCTTAGAATTATTCAATGTTTTACGTGTCAAGAACTTGCTGACTGTAAACAAACCCGACTTTACCAAAATTAGGTAGTACACATAGTTGTTTGGGATTGACATGGAGATACTTACCCCAACGACATCGTATTCCTGCAAGAAGTGTGGTCACTCCATGATCTCTGCAAATCAACACAAGCTTTGTTTGAAGTGTAAAGCTTGAAAGTGCACTGAGGATATGAGGTGTCCTCAGTGCTTGTCTCATTCCCCCTAGGTGTTTGCCAAGGTGGCAGACTCCTGGAAAGCCTGGGAAGAAAATGATCGATGCACTGCCCTCTTTGTCTGAGGTTTTGCTACAGATTCGCACCAAGACGTCCCTCGACCAAGAATTCGTGAGTGGATAGGATTATCTCCAGACGTTCAGTCTATGCCTTCCCTAGAGACCCAGAAGAACCCCCCTGCTAAAAGGCAAGTAGGGGGACAAAAAGTACTGGGGTAAGATGTCGTAGAACAAAGAAACAACATTGAAGCCTTTGTCTCTTCAGGTTTGGAAGGGTACAACATACTGGCTGTGATAGGACAGTAGTCGTGAATCCACCACAGGCACAGCATGGACCAAAAGCATCCTGTTACCACCAAGATTATAAGCTCGGACACTATGATGAAGACCTCAACTTTGGTCCTTCACCCTGACAACGGAACCGGTCAGATTCCAGTCAGGGTACAAGTAGACACTCCCCTCCAGACAACAAGAGCCAACTGGCTGCTACACGATCCTGGGTCACGGCTAGACTCTATCAGATATTCAGGACAGCTGAGACAGGATGGCACAGAACTGCACTTCACAGCATATGGTGATGTTTCGATTTTGTTCCCTAAATAATGCTCAAGTTGATAATGTTTGAAAAGTAGTATGGTGTCATTTATTTTCATTCCCCTACCTCCCCCTTTACTCCTAAGGGGAAGTCACCAAGTGAAACCCCTTAAGACTCAATCCAAATGAATTGGAACAGCTTATAAAGAGACAACAGGTGGTCCTGATTGACAGGGGCCTGACCACCTTTACAATGGAGGTTGAGGATATCAAGCAACAAGAACATGTTTTCTCTCAAAAGCATTACCCAGCCAAAAGGGCAACGGCGGAAAAACCTGGATACCAGATCTGTTGTTATGGCTGACACAGAGGTGATTACATCCATGGAAGGAAGTTATACACGGTACCCCCATGTCGGGGTCGTAAGACTGCTGTCCAGGCGTTCCTAAGAAGATTTTGACACCGCTGGATTGGGGATACCTGCATGGCTGGCAGGGTCACCAGACTGATGGCCATGGGTTCCCATGAAAATATGGACACCACATGATGGATCTTCACATCAATTTTCTTAAGATGAGAGCTATTTACCGTACCCTAAATACATGGCAGCATATCCTAGTGTGACAACACCACAG